GCATGTGCAAGTGCATGGACATGTGGTGTGTTGATTTTCTGTTGCTGTCTGAGTTACTCCTTTGTTTGGGTGCCAATTTGAATAATTCATGGAACATATTTCCTGGCATATTTGCTTGACTGGTAACAGGAGCTCTGCTCATTCTACTCTTGGCAGGGAATGCAAAATCTTTGATTTTTTTTCTCCCACAAATCTGGAAGTGAAATATCAGGATCTTATAACTCTTTTAGTAAAAAAAAAAAAAAAGAGGAGGAAGCTACTATTTCCAGAGCATCCCATTCTTCCCAACATTGGCAGGCGAGGAAAAGGAGAGGAAGCTGATGTTCAATGAGTGCCTACTACGTCCCTGGCACTGTGCTCATGCTATGTGTACACTGTCATCCCTGGCACTACGCTCATGCTATGTGTACACTGTCGTCCCTGGCAGTATGCTCATGCTATGTGTACACTGTCGCCCCTGGCACTACGGTCATGCCATGTGTACACTGTTCTCACCAGCACCCACTTAGGTGTCACGTCTCTGCTGCAGCAGCACCTCCTCCAGGCACACTTTTCTTACCACCCACTGACTTACACACTTGACCCCTCCCTCCTCGTGCCCCCGGTTCTGCCCTCTAACATTGCATCTTTGCCTATATTCATGTTCGTTTCTGCTCTTCCTCTAAATCTTCCTGTTCAAAACTACAGTGCTACTGAGTCCTTGAAATGTGGTTAGTCCAATTTCAGACGTAGTGTTAAATACATAGGAGATTTCAAAGTCTTAGTATGAAAAGCCGAGTGGGAAATATCTCATGAGTAACAACAACAACCATTTTTATGTTGATTATATGTTGAAATGATAATATATATTCACTCAAAAAAACTCACTGCCATTGAGTCGATCCTGATGACTCCCATTGGGTTTCCAAAGCTATAAATCTTTATGGAAGTAGATTATCTCATATTCCTTCCATGGAGCAGCTGGTGGGTTTGAACTGCTGACCTGGTTAGTAGTCAAATACCTTATCCATTACACCAGCAGAGCTCCTTATCTTATGTGTACTGGGTTAAATAAAATATACTGTTAATATTAATTTTACCTTTTTTTTAACTTTTTTAATGTGGTCAGTAGAAAATTTAGAAGTCAGCTGCTTCTGTCATGCCTTTCTCTCCCTCCCTCCACCCCATGCCTTTGTCTCAGCCACAGTGTTCCCCCCTTTCCCTCAAATATGACCTTCGACATCCTCACCTCCTTGCTTTCACACACGTTTCCCCCATGCTCAAAATGGCTTTTGTAATGTTTACCTTCACTACCAGCTACCCTAACCTCATCCAAGCTGCCAAGGGGAATTTTGTTTCTGACTCCTAGTCCTCCTTCCTGTTCTCAGAGTTGCTGGTGATGATTTAGTTTGGATTGCAGTTTTTTTCTGGTGATCTATTTGACTAGTTCTGTGAGGTGGTGGGACTGATATGGAGTTAACTGAGCACAAAACAAGAATACAAGTGAAAGTCTTGGAAGAGTGCCTTTATAGAATCCATGAAGCTCGCTGACAATGTGACAAACGTTTCCCACTCTGTGAATAAGGTTTATGTATGGGGCATTAATGTGGGACCCAGTTCTGCTTTTTTATTTTCTGCTTTCTGCTGAGAAATATGGTGAGCAGCCTTCCCTCCCAACCACACATTTCTTGTTTGTGCAGTCCTAGCCTTTGTGCAGTCCTAGCCTTTGTGCAGTCCTAGCCTTTGAAGGGGAGCTCTGGTAGCATAGTGGCTAAGACACTTGCCTGCTAACCAGACGGCTGGCGGTTCAAACCCACAAGCCACTCCTCGGAAGGAAGGTTGGGCAATCCTACTTCCGTAGTGATACTGCCTCGGAAACCCAAGGAGGGGTCACTATGAGTCAGGGCCGACTCGATCAGGGCTGACTCGATGGCACATAACAACAACAACAAGCCTTTGAAGAGTGACTTTTCTGCATCTCATGGGTAACCTTGAGGACTTGAGATCATGAAAATGGAAACAACTCTAGAGATGCATGAGTTTTAAAATCAGCACGTGGATTGGAGGACCAGTCACAGGAAAAGAAAAATTGCCTCTTGACAAGCATATTATTTGCTACAAAGCAAAACAAATTTACAAGCATATCCTTGGAATCAGGAGAAACAGAATCCCCTAAGAGTTTCTAGGGAGCAAGGGATGGTAAGTTGAAATTCAAAATCTTTGACTTATATTAAAGATAAGAGGCAGCATAATAGGGTGGATTCTGAAGGTGATGGCCTGGCTAGAAATCCTGGCTCCATTACTTACTGTGTGATCTTAAGCAGGTGACAAAACCTAGACTTGTCCTCTCAGGGGACTTGAAGAATAAGCAACTTAACACTCAAGTTCTTGTAACAGTGGCCCAGAGTAGGTGCCATATAAAATGTCTGTTGTCGGCCTGAATTGACATCATCATCACTACATAATATCTGTACGCATTGTTGTCATTTCAGACTCACAGTGACGCCATGTGTGTGACAGCAGAACTGTGCTCCATAGGACAAGCATGACTGACTGTTTGGAAGTTGATAGACAGCTCTTCCTTTCAAGGTAACGCTGGGTAGACTTGAACCAGCAAACTTTCAGTCATAGTTAAGCATGTTAACCATCTGTACCAACCGGGAACTCCTATGATATCTTTAGTACTCCTTTATGTGTGGGTTTTACTTTCTTCTTTGAAGGGAAGGTCTCCTTAAAGGCTTGTCTCATCTTAAACCTGAATTGCCCGTGTTGTTTTTACTTTTCCACCTGGGAATTCTCCTACCACGTTTTTATTATTTTTTCTTTCTCGGCAACCCACTCTTTGCATTTGAAATGTATAGGGCAGATAATTCAACCACTATTTATGTGGAGTTAGTGATGCCAAGTGAAGTTATGCTATGCTGAATACTTTATTTTTATTTTTTTATGTAAACATAATTTGCTTTGTAGGCACAATATAACGAAAGCTCTAAAGCCACAAATACATTAGACAATGTTCAGTTCACTCCAATCAAGCTTAAATCACAGAGACGCCTTCACGTTCCTTTAAGGCAAACTGAGACATTCTTTACACTTCCTTCAGGAAAACAATCACATGACAGGAGAAGGTGCTTAGAACGAGGGTACATTAAATGGTTAATATAACTTCTTTTTGCTCATTCTTCATGGTATAAATTCATCTAATTGGTCAAACTCTAGTTTCTCTTTTCTCTTGGTATTTTGGAGAGAGCAAAGGGCTTTCTTTAACCAACCTGCATAAATGACAATTATAGTATTAACCTTGCTAATTAAAAACACAGATTTGGGAAGAAATGACTTTGCATGCATCTCCTCTGAGATAACAAAGGCCATTTGGCTTCTGAATGTCATCGTGTTCCCACTCCCTAGGGGAGGAGAGCACTGATACCGCCTGTCCTGGAACATCTCTGCCCAGGCTCACCCGTTCCTCTTGGACTCCATTTCCAGCATAGTAATGGGGCAGGCAGGAGGAATCACACGATACAGAAAACTCTCCCCAGATGCCACAGAAGTGGGACACTGGTAGATCCTGCAGTAGAGGAGCTGATGCGGGCGTCCTCGTTCAAACGCCCCCGTCCCGCTGCTCATGAGGTTACATGGACATTCACAATGAGGAGAAACTCCCTTCAGGTAAATATCTGGCAGAAGTAAGCCATTATCACAAGCTTAGGGTAGGGAAGATGGCTCTGAAGTGACATTTGCTACAAAAGAACTTTGGAAACAAAACCGATTGTCGCTGAAATGCATTCATTGCCATCACTTGGGGGAAGAGTTGGGTCCCCTCTAAGGTTTGTTGGGTGGGGAAATCAGGCAATGCGGGGACCCCCTGATGTTTGCAGAATGCACAGTGAGTTAGGGTGCTAATCATACCAGCTCTCGGGTCTCCAGCTTGGTTTTGTGAATGAGTTTAAACCTTTGGGCCAAATGGACCCAGGAGGATAGACTGGAGCCCCCTTGTGGAGACACTGAGACTCTTCTAAGAGATTAACCTTTCACCTCTTAAGCAAGCCAGTCAAGTGGAGTGAGGACAGGGTTTCTCAAGGGGTTAGAAGCTGAAAACTGATCAGTGGGGTACAGTCAATTAGTTTGGTCCTTGATGTCTTAAAAGCAGGGGTCCCTCAAAAGATCTGCACCATGATTTTATGTACCAGAGGAAAAAGACCATCCATTTGGCTTCAGATGCTGCATATAAACCTTTTGTCTCCCTAGTTTGCTGCATGTTGGAACATGCTTTGGCAAGAGAAAAGATAGGCATTGATTTTTCCCAATATGATGTACAAGGGAGCTCTTTTAAAGGGGACCCACTTTATATGTGGTTGCTTACTACCAGGAATTGGTAGTGGTGATGAAAACTGTGCATACACCGTTGAGTCTCGATAATGACTTCTGAATTTGTCCCATGCTGTGGTGAGCTTTCATACAATTAAAATAAAATATATATTTGGGGAGGGGACTACTCATGAGATGTGGTTTCAGAACAAGCTCTGTGGGTGGTCCTCAAACTCATGCTACTGACCCATCTTTCATCCCGAAAAACCCAGACCTGTCTCCCTGTGTTTAATGATGAAAACCAATAAAAGGATCAAACACTTAGAAGGTCAGAGATTGGCACTAACCTTTTGATAGTGAAACGGCTGAATGAATAAGGAAGTTGCCTCTTCAAAGGGGAGAGGGAAAGTACTGTTTGGAGAGGTTCTTAATTTATGGGCCCATGAAGACATCTTCTGGCCTACCCTCTTTCTGCTGGCCAAACTGGCAAGTGATTTAGTCAAAAGTATGGACAACCTGCAGCAAAAAGTGTCATTGGCCAGAAGAATTCTAGGACCTGGACAGTGCTTTGTGATAATACCTCTCAGTCCAAACTCACCTGTGCCCATGTCCGGTCTCTTAGGCATTGGGCTTGTGGGCTGGTGTTAATTTGCAACTCTGTTCTAGAACCATTGAGAAGGACCTAAGGATGGATGGTTTTGAGAAAAGGCAGAGGGAGAGTGTCATACACAGATGGGGAGGGACATAATACTGCATGGAATGGGATTGGCACTTAAATTCAAAACACAACAGTGATCAACAGCTTTTTAGCTCAGCTGACTGCAGACAAACACAATGCGCACTGACTACAGCATTTGTTCACTGGGGCACATGAGAGCTTGCCCAGCCTGGTCTTCTTCTTCCAAACCATCCTCATGTTCTCCTGCCTGGGTCCGGGGTTACTGGATAAAGGGCATCCGCTCCTTGTTCTCGCTGTCACCCTCGTGGTCCTCCTCCTCCTCCCCTGCTTCGCTGGTCTCTGTGCTGTCATTGGCCATCTGTAATAAACAGAGGACATTACGGAGGGCTCTGCAACCCGGCCTCCACTTTCTCCAAGCTTTGGATGTCTTTCTGAGGCAGGGCTTCTCCGAGGGCTGAAAGCTAGGGATGCTTGCCTTACCCTGGAAGGCAGTGTGTGTGCACTGTTGTCTCTGTGCTTTCCTGTCTGGGCTCTCAGATAGCTCTAGAGACACTCTCCTGATGCATTTTCCTTTCCTTTTCAGCACTCATTTCAGTATGTGATTAGGCCCTCATTTGTAGAATCATAAACACTTCTATTTCCTTCTACCTCACCTCAACCTGATAGACCCTCAGTGACTCTCCCTATATTGAATGGAATGGATTTCTTCACTGTCCACTCACCAGTGGAGTCGGGGTCTTTTCTACATCCAGAATTAACTTGCCAATGTTCCCTCGGTCATGGATCCGCTGCATGGCCTCCTTCACCTGAGAGATGAGGGGAGAAAGGGAAACTGGTTAGGTGGCAAGTTGCCCAGAGAAAGCAGCTGGGGAAAGGCAACCCCAGAGTTTCCCACTGTGCTTCAAGCTTAGTAGGCAAGGGGGAAACTCACTGCCCTTGAGTCCGATCCAAGTCATAGTGACCCCTCCTTGTGTTTCCGAGGAGGCATCTCTACAGAAATAGATTGCCCAATCTTCCTTCCGAGGAGTGGCTGGTGGGTTTGAACCACCAGCCTTCTGGGTAGCAGTCAAATGCCTTAGGCACTACACCGCAAGAGCTCCCAAATAAATTCTGGTGGTGTGTACGCACACTCTGACTTGAACTAGTGACTTTGTTTCCTGTATCTAAAAAATGAAGTTAATGAAGTTGATGGCAGGTTTGGAAAGAGCTCCCGAGACGATGTAGATGAGGGTTTTTTTTTTTTTTTCCTTAATAGTCCTTGTAATACCTTGTAATACAAGCGTTTCTTGCTTCAGGGTGTCAGGACACATCAGCCAGAATAAATTTTGATCAATAAAAACTTTTCCTGAGAGTCAGTTAACACTCTGCTTACTTAATATATTTAAATACTATGTTAACACTGCTTCATATATGTATTACATTGACCAATTACCCAAGGTTTAGTTGCATTTAACAAAGTTCCCATGATTCCTGGCTATTAGGTGGCAACTTTGTCTCCATTGAAGTGGAATTTTCCCCAGAAGTCCTATTCTCCCCAGAAAAGAGGACCTACTCTCTGGTTTCAAATGTTGGGGGCTTGACAGACCAATGGATGTCTCCTGGGACACTCTGAAAAAGCAAGGGTGTGCAAATCTGATTCATACTTTGAACATTGCCTTTTGCTGGTGTGTGGAGAATGAACTCTAGAGGGCACTGTGAGGATTAACTGGAAAAAGGGTTCAAGTGCTTGATACAGATTATGTCCTCCATTTTGTGATGAAACGAAATGATAATACAACATCTATTTAAGAAGGGCGGGGGATGTAGCCTAAATTTATTTCCCGAAATCCCAGAATTTTAAATGCTTTTGTTCATTCACTCGTTCAGTCCACACATATTCAGGAAATGTTGCTTCTATGCCAGATGTCATGGTTTAAAACAAAAAGAGTGAGACAGAGGATCTGTCTGAGGAGCTTGATCTGCCTCCCTCAGAGCAGAATGTGCTTGTTCAAGAACCAAAGCCTTCTCCTCATTTGGACTCAGACTCCACAGAGCCATTAAAATGTTCGTGCGCTAAGTGTTTTTCTGGCACTTTATCCTAAGGGCGTAACTCAATTTATGGGGAAAAATTTACCAAACCAAAGATGCTCACTCCGAGCGTTTTTAATGGGAGAACATTGAAGCAATTTATCTGTCCAGTGAAGGGGAATGGTTAAGACGGCAGTGAGTTCTACATTGATTACTGCACAGAAATGTGTAGCACTTCACGTGGTAACTCTCAGAAACAGAAGGAAGGGTTAAAGGTTTTTGTAATAGTATTAAGTGAAAAATCTGAGCTACCTCTTTATTTACATCTCCATAAAAAATAGATATCCTAAGCAAAGCATATGTAAAACTTCGTCAGCTTAACAAAAAGACAAATAACCTAGCCACAAAATAAGCAAAGGACTTGAATAGACATTTCATCAAAGAGGACGTTCAAATGGCCACCAAACACATGAAAAGATGACCAGCGTCTTGAGTCATCAGAGAGATGGGAATCAAAACCACAATGAGATACAGCTTCACTCCCACGAGGATGGCTCAGATAAAACAAGAAAATAAAAAATGTTGGCAAAGGTGTGGGGAAACTGGAACCCTTACCCATTGCTGATGGGAATGCAAAATGATATGGCTGTTGTGGAAAATAGTGTGGTGGGTCCTCGAAAAACTAAAAACAGAACTACCCTATGATGTGGCCTAGCAATGTATATAGCCAAGAGACTTGAAAGCAGAGACTCAAAAGGAGACATGCACATCAATGTTCATTACTGACAGTAGCCAAAAGTGGAAACAAACAAAATGTCCATGAACAGATGAATGGATCAACAAACTGTGGCACATATCCCATGTAATACTACTAAGCTAGTGGGAAAAATGAAGTCTTTATACATGCTACAGTATGGATACTGTAGCTGAGTGAAATAAGCTAATCAAAAAAGGACAATCTGACTTACATAAAAAGACAAGAAAAGGCAAAAGTCTAGTGAACAAAGGTTATTAGTGGTTCCCAGGGTCAGGAAGGAGAGGAAAAGGGGGATTAATGGTGATGGAAAAATCCCACTGATTAAGGAAAGAACTGCAGGAGCTCTGGGGTGCTGTAGTGCCTAAGGCATGTGACTGCTAACTACAAGGTTGGTGCTTCAAACCTACCAGCCACTCTGTGGAAGGAAGATGGGGCAATCTACTTCCATAAAGACGTACCGCCTTGGAAACCCAAAGAGGGTGGCTATGAATGGGAATCGACTCAATGGCAGTGAGGTGCTTTGTTGTTTTTTTTTTTGGCAATAAGTTGCATACCTGTAAAAAGTTGAATTGGTAAAAGTTGTGTGACAGATATATTTACAACAATGAGCCCCATCCCCCCGCCCTCCCCCAAAAAGTAGCTGCTGAGGCTGCTTATATACAAACACCTCATGGGATTTGGTTCCTTGTGGTTTCATGAGACATCCCAGTTAAGTGGCCTAGTAACATGTTTAGTGCTTCGGTTCTACCTTCCAGTGTGTTGTGCTGAGATGGTAGTCCAGCTAAGCCATACTCACCTTACTGACCCACAGAAACTGTGTCCTAATGAATGTTGTTGTTTTAAGCCACGAAGTTTAGGGTAATAGTTGACTAACACTTAGGAATTCTTACAGAAGCTCACAACCTTGCAAGGTACATAGTATTCCCATTTTACAAAGAGCTTCCCTGATGCTCAAAGATATAAACATTGTGTCCAACGATTACATGGCTACTGGTGACAGAACTGTGGTTCAAAGGCAGGTCAGTCACACTTTAAAACTGATGCTCTTTCCCGATGCCACCCAGACTGTGTTTCTTCAGCTTCTGAAACTCAGAAGAGGGTGGTAGGTAACATCTCACATAATAATGGGCCTGGCTTCCCAGAATTCAGTTCTTTATTACTCTGCCAAGTCATTAAACACCTGGGAACTCCAGGGAGATTAGGAACAATTTTTAAGCTGCTTCTCCAATAAGATAGAGCCCAGGGAAATGGAAAAGCTGTTTTCTCTCCAGTTGAAGCTTATTGTGATGTTAAGGGAACAAAGTACCCTGCAGGGCTGGCTCTAATCTGTATCTTTTCTTGGGTATTTCTTTCTGAACTGAACGAACTCCTTGAAGTTGGCTCACTGGGGGATTGGAGTTGAGACTGAAGAACGGTCAGGTATATTTCCTGGAGAATATTTACGTTATCCTGCTGTTTGGATTTATATCACCTTCTCCAGCTGCTCTGGGAGGTGCTTAAAAGCCCTTCTGATAGCAGCTTAGAAGGAAAGAAACTACCACTCTTTGATCAAATCTTTATCAAGTATCGTGTGAGGCCTCTTACTCACTCACTGCTGTCAAGTTGGATCTGACTCACAGCGACCCCTCCTTGGGTTTCTGAGGCAGTATCATTATGGAAGTAGATTGCCCAACCTTCCTTCCGAGGAGTGGCTGGTGGGTTTGAACCGCCAGCCTTCTGGTCAGCAGTCAAGTGCTTATGCTAGAAATCAAAACCAACCCCCACTGGGGTGATTCCCACCGATGACAACATCACATGTGCCAGAGTAGAACTGAGCCCCACAGCATTGTCAGTGTCTAATTTCAGAAGATGGTCACCAGGCCTTTCTTCCGAGATGCCCTGGGTGTCCTTGAACCCCCAGCCTTTCAGTTAGTGGCTACATGCATCCATCATTTGCACAACCCTTATATATGTTATTCTGTTTCATCCACACACTGACAGTTTCACAAGTGAGAAACACAAAGATAAAAAATCCTAGGAGTCTGCCTTTGGTCGCCATCGAGAGGTGACAGGAACCAGTGGGAACTGAGAGGGCAGCTGCCCTCCTTCTGGAATCTGGACAGGACCCTTTGTACCAAAACTGCCCCAAGGGACACCACCGCAGGGCAACAAGACTGTGCCCAGCTTCCCTGTGATGGTAACAGCGCCCAGGAGAGATGGTGACCAGTTCCTTAAAGCTTAGCAGTACCCACAGGGAAGACAGCTTTCCCTGTGCTGCTCAGAGATTTTCCAAAAGTTCTCTTCTGCTTCAAACCTTGTCCCCATCGAATTCAAGAGAAAAGTCTCTGCCTGCATTGTTCAGTGCGGTAGCCACAAGCCACAGGTGACAACTGAGCATCTGAAATGTGGCTTGTCCAAATTGAGATGCATTATAAGTATCCAATAAGCAGCTGCCATCCAGTCGATTCGGACCCATGGCAACTCCATGTGTGCAGAGCAGAGCTGGACTCACCCTTTCATGGCTGTGGCCTCTCAGGAGCAGGTCTCCAGGCCCTTCTCACAAGGCACCTGTGGGGAGGCTCAGATTGCCAACCTTCTGGTTAGCAGTCAAGTGCAAAACATTTGTACTGTCAAAGGACTCCTAACTGCAGAACACACACCAGGTTTTAAAGACCTAATACAGAAAAATGTAAATATCTCATTAATCATTTTTTATATTGAGTAAATGTTGAATCTACCTCATTTTGCATATATGAGGTTAAATAACACATATTAAAGTTAATTTCACCTGTTTTCTTTTTACCTTGAATTTGACTACTAAAAAGTTCAAAACATTACATGTGGGTCAGATCTGAATTCTGCTGGACACCATTGTACTAGACTTCTTAGGAGGTGATGTCTGGTGCCCTTTCCAGCTTTCTGTACCTGTGGCTGGCCAGGGGCAAAGCCCTTACAACCAGGATTGCAACTTACTCATTAGCCTCTCCACCAGGTCACAAGTCTCTAGGCCAGCACTGCCCAAGAGAAATAGAAGATGAGCCACAAATGTCATGAAAACTTTTG